AGGTAGGCTACTAATAATGGTTGCTTACAATCATAAGAGAAAATATTTCAAGTGAATTTTTTATTGCAAATTTAAATAAGTGGACGGTGAGTCATGAGTCAAGTAAAGACTCATTTTCTATAGTTTTTCTGTTTTCTATTTTCTGTAGGTCCTCACAACCTACTGTACAGAACCATACATTTCCCCAAAGTTTCCCTTCTTATCATCTAAACTAGTCTTATCTGTGCTGCCATATCATTGGATAAACCCAATCTTCTTGCTCTCATTGAGAGGAAGTAAAAATTTGAGATTCCAGAAGGTGCTGACACCCTGAGAGTCAACGCTCGGCTCCGCGTCTGCTATTGATCGGCAGATACTGTGGTGTCAGCATTAGGATCCCTGGGGAGCGGTCACATAACCCTTGGTAACATGGTACAGCTTACGAAAGTTGGGCGGGCTGGTGACGTCAAAGGGAGGTTCGCGTGCGAATCTCCCGCAGCTTCCCTCGCAACCAACATCTGTCCACAGGGAACATAACAGCTGGCCAGGGAACAAGTCAGTGAGCAAGCCGCCTTTATCTTACATCAACCTGGTTTTCAGAGCGAGGGATAAATCGTGTCACACGGATCAGCGTTATCAGCGTGACCCTTATAGATGGGGATTTGAGAGCGAGGATCAGAGAATGAGATATATTTCTGACACACTGATCTTTAAATAATTAAACTTCTAAACTCAATCAAACAGCCAGAACATCACTATTACAGTGCTAACAGCACACACACAAAAAACACAAAACGCAACTGGAAATGCCAATGGCGTCCTGTGTTTCTTCATAAACGACTCCGCTGTTACCTGTTCAACTGCAAATCTTGCATAACCTCGTCCTGTTGCTATGGAGATGACATCAACAATGGAAAAGACACATTAATCATCAAAGCTGTCTATGTATAAACACCAATGCATGTGCCTGTATGTAGTCTTTGTAAGGGACACAAGAGCTTTGGAGATCCACCCATTTAACCACCACTCAGGTGCCAAGTTCAGATCCTGTGTTCACAACAGTGCCATGGAAACAAATGACAGGGTGTCATTTCTAGAGCACTCACTCTTCACCAGTCACTACACATTATAGCAACATGCACTCATGAACCAAAGAGTTTGCAGCACTCTAGCGCACAAGATTTTAGCGCAAAACCCTGGATTATTTAACTTAACCCGTTATACCAAAGTTATAATGTACCTTGAATGCAGCAAGCTTTTGGATAAATCTACCAAATGCATTAAATATGAATATAGTATATCAGGATGTGTATTCCCAAGGAATTGAGTCCATGACCTTGGTGTTGCTACTGCCATTCTCTACCAGTTAGGGTAGACTGGTAAATAACACTAATTAAATAGCTTGCTTTGATGCAAATGAAGCTAACACACAATTTAAGGTGAGCTATACCGGCTAGAATGCTTGCAGTAAAGGGATGCCTTTAAAAACGTTTTTTTTTTTTTGCACATTTTTAGTCATTACTGAAGCAGAAATGTTAAGACCCCTGTGTGAAAATTATACCTTTCGTATCATTTTAGCCATTGTCTAGGCACATTTATGTGAATAAGGTGCAACTGCCCCATGCAACACTAATTTTGTTGCCACATTTACTTGATTTGCATAATTCCTTTGTGAATCCGGTGCTAAAACAGTGCAGACAGCATGTGCAAATGATGCTAGCAGCGGGTGCAGCTCATTCTCAATACGTAAAAAGCAAAAACAACGTTTTGAGGTCTGGATCTTTTAATTTGATTCTCCTCTTGGCCGGAATTAATTATTCCTCTGTAAACCCCTGGGGATTGAGCATCTATCAAATGTTTGTTTATTAAGACTCTTATTTTGCTGGTTTAATTTGCCCCTTACTGTCTCATTATGTCGAGTGATGCATGATTGCATTGCAAATCCACAATGAATCTGAAATTAAAACAGACTTAAAATAGTCATCTCATTCATTAAGTAGGCCAATGAGGCTAGAGAAATTAAGTAAAATACCAAGTGAACAGGCATACGGCTAATCAAGACTTTGTGACCTAACAGAAACTTTTTTCTTAAGTACAACACAAACAACTCTGGAAAAACTTATGTAAAACCTCTGATGTTCAATAGCAGGGGTCTTCGTTTTTTTTTTTTGTTTTGTTTTTTTTTTTCAGGGCAAAAAACCCGCTTAGGCGATAAAGACATTGAGCAGGGACCCCCGACACAAAATATGTCAAACAGAGCTACATAGCATTTATTATTAATAGAAACCAACCATAGTGTGGTTTAAATTACATTCTGTAGCTATATACTTTTCATTGTCAAAATTGAGATTTATGCATCATCACAATTAAAAATCACAATTCATTAGTTGTTCACAGTTGTAAATTATTTTAATGGTAAAGATTCTTTGGCCTAGAGTTGTGGCCTAATGATTAGAGAGTCCAACTGGTAACCTGAAGGCTGCGGGTTCGATTTTCAACACTGGCAGGAAATTAAACGTAAACGTCTGTCCACTGTTCAGGTGTATCTGAGTGTATTACTACTCCTAATGTCTAAGCACTAAGTAACTTGAATGGGTTAAGTGCAGAGGACAAATTCCAAGTACAGGTTTGGGTTACCATACTTGGCCTTCACATGTCACTTTCACTTTCAACCCTAGCATTATGGCAGCAACTTTTCACATGCAATCACCATACAGCATCCAGCTAGATCACTCTAGAAATTGCCTAACAACACCCTAGTAACCGTGCACAACACCGTATCATCGTGGTTGCAAGTGTTGCACATGCAAGTACAATCCAGCAACCACCTACTGTAGATCACACTAGAAATTGCCTAACAACACCCAAGTAAATGTGCACAACACCCTATCATCAAGGTTATCATCAAGTAACCCTATCAACAAGTTTTGCACATGCAACAACACCTAGATCAAGAAACCACCTTGCAACTCCCTAGTAACAAATGCACAATACCTTAACATAATGGCGGCAAGTTTTGCACATGCAAGTACCATCCAGCGACCTCCAAGATCACACTAGAAACGCTTAGTAACGCCCTAGTAACTATGAACAACGGCTGCAAGTTTGCACATAAAAATGCCATCTAGTAACCACCTAGATCACCTTATCAACCATCTAGCAACAACCTGCACAACCACAACCATTGAGTAACCTCCAAGATCACCCAAATGACCATACAAATATATATGAACTTCCTAAGTATATAATAAATAAGTTTCAACTTCCATTAAATATTTTTTGAGCAATAAAGAAAAGAAAAAAAAATACCTTTTTAATTCCAAAAAGCCCAGAGCTCAAACTAACACAGTTCAGCTGAATAAAGAAAAACTCAACTTTGTGAATCTCAGCAATGAAATACAATTTTGGATTTAAATAAAATTAGACAAGCACATTAAAAATAAGCATTAAAATGATATCTTAAGTCGGGTGCAGAGCCTGGATGTTGTCAGCACAACAGATGAAAAACACCCCAGTCCAAGATTTTAAATTGAATTTAAATTCAATATTAAGTCACCATAATAACAAACAAAGAAAGAACATGTGCACAGAGTCTCTCAAAACTCAAATATTTTGACCATGGCAAGCAAGGGGGAAAAAAAAACTTTCATTCTTTATGGACACCCTGCAAACCAAGTCACAGAAGTTTTCTTATCGTGGTGGCACGAGTGAAGGGGTTAATTGAGCGGCACGGAGGGGTAGCGGCAGCCCACTACACTGCCTTCGCTGGATTAGCCATTCCCAACAAGAACACTTTCTCACACACATACATACACAAACACATCAGTTTCTCTGTTGCTACAGCAACAGCTTACTTTCCATGTCAACTGCAAAGCTGTTTCTATGGAGACACATATACAGAAAAAATTATTTGCTCCACAGCCAGGGACCAGATGGCAGTGAACTGTAAGAGTCACATGGAATGGCTTTACTGTTCTGACTAACTTGTAGACACATGCACACCATAAACACACACACACACACACACACACACAGCATGCTCTCAATATGATACACACGCACAGGAATGCATTTATCAGCCTTTGACAAGAATCAATCAATACTCAATAAGCATCTAATGAGTCCCAATTCATAAGCTTCATCCTTTTATCAAACGATTATAAAGTGTTTTCTTACAGGTCATTCAATCAACATTTACTCATATTAAAACCGAGATAACAAGTCTCACCCCTAAATATTGACATGTTCATCACACTCCTGGAACATACATTTCCAAAGACACTATAAAAAAAAAAAAAAAAAAAATCAACAACTCTTTTGACAAAGTAGTTAGCTAGAATACAAGTTAAAAGCTTTTTAAGCAGGCAAAATCTTTTTAATTATATAACTATCAAATTGATAATAAATAAAATATGGTAAAAAATAATAATAAATAAAAAATGTAATAATTAACAATAAGGTTCGATTCATTAACATTAGCTAAAGGAAAAGATATAAAAATAGACTTATTCAATAATTAATTAAAGCTTTCTGTCACAAAAGGATTTTAAGTATAGTGACAGCATCATAGTTTACCTATAACTTTACACTAAATAGGAGTCCTATTTATATATATATATATTAAAGTTTTTTTCAAATTTAATTGATTGGTAAATCATCTCATGGTTAATTGACGAACCGCTCAAACGAATTCACTGCAAATAAACTGTAATTCCCAGCAGCACTTGACAAAAAAAACAAAACTGTAGGTATGCATTTACTAATTGCCGCATCTATACTTCTAAAGCTATACACAATACAATTTGACTACAAACAGCAGTGTGACATTTTGTATTAACCTGTTTCAAACAGCAATCATTTTGAAAACAGTGAAGCTGCCTTTAGACTACTGAACATTTTTAAGCAAATGTTTAAGTCTCAATTACTACTAAAAAAAAGGGCAAAAATGAAATGAAAACTAGAGATGAGCATTTCCCACAGTGCAATTAAAGATTGATCCAGAACGATTTTGCCATCCATACCTGACTCCTGTCCTTGTCCACCTTCTTAAAGCACTTATTGAGGGACAGATTGTGCCTGACTGAGTTCTTCCACCCCGTGGGGGCGTTGGCAAAGTAAGGGAAGTGTTCCAGGATCCAGTTGTATATGTCTTTAACTGGCAGTCTCTTAGAAGGGGCATCTTCTATTGCCATGAAGATGAGGCAGCTGAACGAATAAGGAGGTTTGCAGTTGGGGTTCTGCTTGGCGTCGTAAGGGAGATCCGAGTGGGCCGGGGAGGGTGGGGTGTCATCATCCAGGTCCTGGACAGGGCTGACGCTTCTCAACACGGGGTCACCGAAGCTGTTGAGCAGGTTCTTGCTCTCGTGGAGCCAGTTGAGGTTGGTGAGTTCCTCGTCCTCCACGCTGCCCTTCTCCAGTTTGATGATGGGAAGAGCCAGGTCCATTTCCTCGGCCTCCTGTAGGGCGCGCGTTATGGAGCTCGCCTGATAGAACTGGCTCAGGCCGCTCGCGACGCTGACCCCGGAACTTTCCAGCTTCTTACTGGGAGGCATAACCGGACCCATTTAGACCAAGGCTCCTACGAAATACACCAAGGAGAACAAGATCACAATCAAAGAACGTGAAAGGTGAAAATAAAACACATAAGAGCATCATTTGGTCAAGACATACTTCCCAAATGCACAATCCAAATCCACTACAAAGCTATTGTAGAAGTTTACAGACTGATCGCCTTGCAGGTTTATTTATTTCACTTGATGTTCAGATCACAGCCTTTACTTCCATCCAAGGGACAAAGCATTCTCAGAGAGCACAAAAAGAGCACGGCAATGAGAATTATCCTACTCTTGTCAACAGCAAGAATGCGCGGCACGTCATTCTGCTTTCAGAGAAGACTGAACAGCTACAGAGCAACTGAAGAAGCCTTCCTGTGTGAAATATTTCAAGTAGATGGAATATAATACTCAAGGTCATCTACAACTGATCTGATCTGCTCTGTCTGTTTTATGTTCTCTAAGTCGCTCTTTTTATAGTTGTTGTACACAGATAAAAATAAAGATATCAATACAAACTGTATATAATGTGTTATTCAATGATTAAACGTGACATTAAAGGCACGCTCACAAAATTAAATGTAGCTCACTCTTAGAAGAAAAGGTTCTATATAGAACCTTAAAAGGTTCTAAAGCGCTACGTATTTGGAACCTCTAAAATGCACTGAGTGTGAATGATCACAAAATTCAAGATATGGGGGTTAAAAATGTAATTAATCAATATCACATGAAGAGTGCCATTTCAGTTGTTATCCTCCAAAAATCTGCATGATTAAAATGTGATATAAAGTTACAACAGTTTAATAAACAATAACTTAGTTACAACTACAAAATGTTGCAGAATAATGTAATATATGAATGAATAATAGCTTTTAAAAAACCTTTGTGCCAAAAGTGTTCTTTCTTGTCATTATTGAAACTTTTTTAGCATAAAATGCCTTTTGGAGTTGAGTAAAGAACCCTATGCTACATATACTGTATAGAACCCTTTTTTTTTCTAAGAGTAATGCTACAAATGTTTTTGATCTCAAATTAATGTCTGTCTTTTGAACTTTCTATTTATCAAGGAAGAATAATGGTTTCCACATCAATAATGAGCAGCACAACCATTTTCAACATCGAAGATAATAAGGAACGTTTCTTGAGCATCAAATCAGCATTTTAGAAGGATTTCTAAAGGATCGTGTGAAACTGAAGACTGGAGTAATGATGCTGAAAATTCAGCTTTACCATCACAGGAATAAATTACATTTTGAAATATATTACAATAGAAAAGGTTATTTGAAATTGTAATAATATAAAGGGTTACATTAGTGTGGAGATTAGAACCCATAAACATTACCACTGGACCATACTTTATATTAAATTGCTGATCTATGCCTTTATCCACTGACCTACAAAATCCCAGGACTGACAGAGGACATTAGGAATGAAGAAAACTGTCTAAAGTTCATTTGTGTTAAGAGAACTCACTGAAAATTAATAATAATGACTTTTAATGAGCTAATACAGATCAACATATACTGGCCAAAACGTTTAACTTAATATCTGAGCTACAACACTAAAAATGCTTGGTTGTTTCACCCAAATTTGGGTCAAATATGGACAAACCCAAATGTTGGGTTAAAAATGCAATGGACTATGTGCACGTTAGCATATGCTAGTTCCGGCTGCGAAACCGATATGGGGTGTCTAGTTTCCGGTAGCCTGATGGACGACGTAGAGGATGTATGTTTCTCCAGATGTCTTGAACATTTGCCGAATATTACAGTCGATTATGTTCATCGACTGGCTAATGATTTTCCTCCAGCTCCCCAGAGCAAGAGAGAAGGGGTTTAAATATTAAATTTCTCAGTATTTGCATCATTTTGAAGGGAACGTTAAGTCACAACAACATCCATGCTCAGACTGATCTCATGAAATTGCGTATGTATGACACGTATCACGTATTTTTGGCATGCTATCAACACGCATAATCTCTTTTCAGCGTGTTTATGAATACCGTTGACTTAACGTTATTATTGTATATAATAATAAAAAATAAATATCGCTCCCCAGATGTAGATCTACATGAGATACAAGAGATCTTCTGGTGGATCTCTCCACTCGATGTTTCAGAGAACCAGGGTTACGACAGTAACCTATTGTTTTGTTTCGCTCGGACATTTGACGGCGTGTACGTACGCGGTACACGTGGAATCACTCGGACATTAATGTTGCCATGCTACGTGCTCAAGCTATGCGATTTGGTAACTGTTCTCTCTATACATTATAAAATGCGAAATCATGCGTTAGAAAGTGCATTTTCCAGAACAGTTTGTTTTGGCCATTGTTTTGTTTATGATGTTCAGAGGCTATGTTGTTGACAACCACTATCGTCATATAGATCAGTGTTGACAACCACTATACATGTCATACAGGGAGTAAAGGTATCCGACGTTGGTTCGTTCGTTATCAAGTTAGGCTGTTTAACACATATTAGGCTGTTCACACATATTTCTAAACAGGTCTCCCTTTCAAAATAGGTTCTAAACCCAGGGGCTTCTCCTGGTTAAAGGGTATAATATAATAAATAATTAGTAGCCTAAAAACTTCCTTCTAGTTGTCATGGATACGCAACGCTCCACTCTGTGAAGCGACTGCTTGGGTGCGGTGACAAAATGTGAAATATCGTTTACTTTTCACAATGCAGCAGCGCCTGGCTCCACCCAAATATAAGTGAAAACTGTGTTGGTTGACTTGACAATGAACAAACGAACATAGTTTTAGACAAATATATTTAGATAGCTAAGCTTTAGATAGCCGGTCCACTGATGTAGGATGTAAACAACGGCAACCGGAACCGAAGTACCCAACATCCGCCCTCAAGGCGGAAGTTAGCATTTTTCTTGTGCACATAGTCAATTAAAAAATGTACAGTTGAAAGTGAAAGTTGGGTTAAAATTTTAAATTTCATTTTTAACCCAACATTTGGGTTTGTCCATATTTTACCCAAATTTGGGTTCAAACAAACAACCCAGCATTGTTTAGAGTGTAATGCTACCTTCATGTGCTATCGGAAAGTTTTGATTGCGAGCTCATTGAGACTTGAGAGGGTGTTCATATCCATTGTTTTAACTAAGGCCACGTTTACACAAAGCCGGGTATTTAGAGAAACGGGTATTTCCCCCGCCTCCATTTTCAATAATAACATCGTGCACACACCCGCATAAATATGCCGTCGAGCGCCATCATATAGTAACTATGCCAAACCTATTGGCGCCAGTGTAGGGAGAAGGATAAAACCATGCAAGCCAATCAGAATCCTCAGAATCGACAAGAGAGAACCTAAAACTCTGTTTCTCCCAGTTGACACGACAACACATAACCGGCATTTTCAGAAATCTCCTCTTTGGCCGGAGATTTTAGAAAGAATCGTTTTCTGTGATAAAAACAGTGTTTTCGTGTAAATGACAGGTCAAACCGCCGGGAAATATCTGTGTTTTCCCTTCGTGTAAACGGGGCCTAAGAAACTGGTATTTGAGTATTATTATTCAGTAAGTCTTGCCATTTTAGATGTCACCATAACAAGCTTGTTTGTGATTTCCCCACATTTTAAAACAAAATGACAGCTCTAGTACTACTAACCTAAAAATATCTCTATGTATGTCAGGGGTGTTCAATCAATCGTGTTTCTGGATATCCACCTATCAGCAGAGTTCAGTTCCAACCCTGATTAAACACACCTGTCTATAATTATCAAGTACTCCTGAAGATCTTAATTAGCTCGTTCAGTTGTGTTTGTTCAAGGCTGGAGCTGAACTTTGCAGGGAGGTAGATCTCTGGGAACAGGATTGGGCATCCCTGATTTATTTCAAAACACTATTCTATAAAGAACTGTGTGTGACAGAGGGGAAAGATGTCAATCACTGAATCAAATACTCAGAACATGACACCAGAAAAACAGACTGCGACCTTCCCCATGATCACTAAGATCAATTCATGTGGCGCTGCTGCTGTCTTTCCTGACTCACTCTCTCAACATCTCGTTCGCTTAACACAGCTGGTCCGCAAAAGCAATTACTAGATAGTCACATCAAACATTTAAATACTGCCAAAAATAATTCCATGAAAATATATTTTAAAAATCAAACATTGCTTTTCCTTCTCAAAGAGCAGATTAAGTTTTTCGAACACTATTTGACCTCAGCTTCAAACTGCTTGTCTTTTAGAATAGAGAAATACTTAAATATTATACTTCAGCATTGTGGGAAAGGCATTTTGAAGGGGAAAGAAATTGCCTCTTGTTCAAACTAGCCATCCGCACATTGAAATGCAACACGGACACTAAAATCATTCATGAAAAATCAATGTACTGCATCTTTCCAATGAGGAGCGCTCATTTCATTCACCCTCCGATGGGGCGCTCCAGTCCCGTGAGCCGTTGCACAGGAAAATTATATTACAGCTGACAGTAAAGTAATTTAATTGTACTGTTGCCATGACAACGCAGGGCTCTGTTTAGGCCTAATTTGCCGGCAACTGCCAATAGTGTCCCGAGAGACCAGAAACATAATTCTTGACCATTATTTCCAACATCAAAGAAAGTTTTTGCAAAATACTTTTGTGTATCAAATAACAACGAAGTGTAATCTATCCTGATTTATTTTGGAACAAATTTTCATCACATTTGCTGTCTTTTAAACATATTTCAAAGTCTTTCATTTAGCTTAAAAAGAAACAAGTCATTTGTTTAAGGTGTTTTTGAAGCTCTTGCACAAGCCACAGGACATTTGAACATGAATTGAAACATTTATAACACTTTTCTCTCAAACTCTAGAATCTAGAACAATGATTTTGACATTAGCCTCAAAATAGCTAGCTTTAACACTGTGTTCACATTTGTATTTCAGTTGTCTTGGTTCTTTTGATCCAGGCCAAAACAGAAAATCATACATTTAGCCCTGGTTCACTTAGTGTTCACACTGTCATTTTTAACACAGAACTAAAGATACAAAAAAGGTTTCTATGGCATATTTTTTGTGAA